CAAAAAAAAAAAAGAACTCTGTTTACCTGTATTGCAAAGTCTATAAGTCCATTGATATTCAGTGCTGGCTCCATGAGATCAAAGATGAGCTGTATATGGTGAGCCAAGGGAAGATGATATGATGTTCCTGAGGCAAAACTAGTTATCTGTTCGAGAACATTGCTGGAAATCTGTAAAAATGCACGGTGAAAAGTCACAGAGTGACTGAGAGCTTCTCAGACACACTAGTGCTCCAAAAATCCTATTTTATAAGTGGTAATAGCAAGTGACAGCATTTTGCAGATAAAAGCACTAACAAATCATGCATCAGGACATCTGTAACTCTACTATTCTGGAAGTCAGTTGTAATGATGTTTTATTTTCAAAATTGGCAATACAGAAAATGTTGTTCTGCTACTTTTCAGTTGAGGGTTAAACTGTTCTTAACATCTACAATATTGATTTTTAACCCTGTGGGGTATTTTTAAACATAATTTTGTTTTAAAGGAGAGACAAAATAATTTTTCTTTTCATTTTACTGCATTGTGATTTTTTTATTGAGGGTTTTCAGATAATTAATTATCCTGCAAACAAAACACGCAACAAATCAGTTCAAAGGACCAGATCTGAAAATATCTTAAAAATTAATGTGTACCTCTTTGACTCTGTTTATTTTGTTAGCCTCTGGTTATTAAAATAAACCTAGAAACAGCAGCATCTGCCAAAGTGATGAAATCCAATGCTGATAGACTTGCACACTTAGAAATCCTGATATGACTTTTTAACAGTAAAGGTTGACTATAAATTCTAATATGGAGAAAAGAATGAGCTGTATTATCTCCCAGCTTCTCAAAGAGACATACTCAGTTTGTTGCACAAAACCACAGAGGAGGTCTCCATCCTTCATAAACACAGATGCAGAAATGTATCTTGTACACATGCAAGAGATTGGTTAGTAAGTGTCTAATTTACCAGTGAGCCCCAAACAATCCTGTTAATGGAAATTCAATTTTCATTAAAAAATCGTGACATTTATAATAACCCTGAAAGCTTCTTGTAAAACAAACAAACAAAACCCCCCAAACAACCAAACCGAACACCTGAATATCTACTGAAGCAGGTATTTTAGAATACCAAGGCAGCATTTTTTCCCTCTTGCCTTTGAAGAAGCAGTGCATTGAAAATTCTTGGTATATACAAAATACATCTAAAAAACTAGATTTACTTCCTACTTGATATCTCTATAGCAGAGCATAAGAAGTTAAGATTTTGTACACGAGAAGTACCTGAGATGTCACCTGATGTTGATCAAAATAGGACAGTTGCTGTAGTTTTGTGAACACGGTCTCTAGGGTTGGAAATGCTTCTTGTTTGGTCTTCCTGGCTTTTTGCCCTTCATCCCCAACTTAACAGATAAAAAAATCACTTTAGTCATTTTATATTTAATGGAGGCCTAGTAGTTTTGCATTATTACTGATTTAAAAGACAATAAAAATCTTAACAAGCTTTACTCGTGACTACATAAAACCCTAGTTGCCTCACTTTTCCATTATACTTGGGACAAATGTACGCCACAGCATGTAACAATATCGAAGCTGCTTCGAGGTTATTCCAATGCAAAAAGGTGACACCCAAGAAACACTGAAAAGCAGTCATACAGGGTAAGGAGGGTACTAGGAGGGTAAGGAAAACATATCACTCCCTGGTCAGTATCTCATATTCCAGGCTTTAGCCTAACACAAGTGTTTACAGCCAAGCTGTTGTAATGGAGAACTGGGATTTCTAGCCCCCGTGGGCTGTCCTGGTGCAGCCGTAAGGCAGGCCAGCAGATTGCACTTTGTGCTCCAGGACTCTGGCCAGTACCTCACCCAGTGGCTGTGAAGGGGGTGAAAGCCAAATTAAGTGATAACACGCACGGCTCCAGACAACTTGCTGAGCCCCTCACAGGTCCCATGATCTTCACTACAGGCTACCATACAGCAGCACTAAAGCACTTACCACCCATTTCAGTAGTACTCTTCTTATTCAGAATTTTGAGGATGTCTTTGGTAATCTTCTTCAGCTGATGTCTCGCTTCATCACGCTCCTTGCCAACGCCATAAAGGAGAATCATGCGCTGGTTACACTCATGACTTGAAGATTCATCCTGGAAAGACCAGATACGAGTGAGGCCCCTTTTCTTTTTTCTCTCATCACCTGCAGAAACCTGACCCAAACAGCCCAGGCTGCAATAAACAATAACTGACTCTTTGTCACAAAAAGATCTCCTGTAGTTATTAGTGTGGAGGAAACAGTGCCAAATGAAATCACTAAGGAGACAGGGTAAAACCACAGAGGGAAAAAATGTAATCTGATATTACAGATTGTATATGTACCTCTAAGGACAGAGGCTGGAGACGCACATGGATGGCCCTTCTAACTGTCCCTTGGATTGAGATTCAGTAGCAGATGAGTCAACAGAAGACAGAATGTCTTAGAAACTTTGTGCCATTTCTCTTACTATGTACAACCCCAAGGAAAGTAAGATGCAGCCTAATTCTTAAAATTCTATGTTGCACGTCCAAAAGAAATTGAAATATGTTAGTGTTTATTTAAATTGTAACTGGTTACATTTAGCCTTCTAATAATATGTATCATATAATGTTGATGCACTGTATATAACTTAAAAACTTGGAAAACTGCTTTGCCAGTCATATAAGGGATAAATATTTTGTTTGGTAACATACTTACCTTCCCCAAACTAACCAATCACTACGTCTTCAAACATAAAACTACCTTAAAAGTTTTAAAGAAATAAGGCTGGTACAAAAACAATACTAAAGAGTCACAAGGCAAAAACGTAGTAGTAGGAGGGCTCAGAAAAGTTGCAGAGTATTACAAAATACAGGCTCTCTTTTAAAAATAGTGACTCTGTAGGCCAAAAGCAGGAAGTAAATGTCTAATTATTTTTAAAATTTCTATTTCTCTCTCTGTCTTCTAGAGGAAACAAAAGCAGAAGCACTGAGAACGTCACCTGAAATTTGCAGCTGTCTCCGGCTAAGAAACCAGTTCAAAGCCAGAGGAAGGTCTGAGTCTCAGAACTGGGATGCCCAGCTGCTTCTCCAGCCTCTCCTCACCCTGTGGGATTCACAGACGAACACTCCTGCCTGCCCACACGCTGAAGAGCTAAGAGGAACCGCGACCGGCGCCTCCGGCCCTCCGCCAGCAGCACCAGCTTCCCATCACAGGAAATACCCACACGTTTCATCGCTTCTCAGCAGCGCGCTACGGTAAGATTCTCTTTGATTTTGGGGTGAAGGGAGCGGTGTCTGACTGTGCACGCTTAGGGAATACTTACTTCATGAGGATTAGACTCGGCAGCTAAATCTGTTACACGTTTCAAAGCATAAGCCAATTTATTTCTATCTTATCGATAGAAATAAAACTTTGCAGCTGTGAAAGGAAGATGTCGGGGATCCTGGAGCATTGGCTGACAAAGTGTCAACTCCCCTGAGTGCTTTATTTGAGAGAAGCAGGGATCACACAGAAATACAGCAATTTTTACAATTGCCTCACTACACTCGTGAAAATTCCTCCTTTTGAAACACACCACTGACTGATTCCACAGCCCTGCCTGGCTTTCCCAGGCAACAATTTCAGTTCAGACCTGGCCTGATCAAGGTTTTTGGACTAAGAGTAACAGTTTTCAGTCCATCCCCCGTTACCAGCTAGGCGGATGCCAGCTGCTGAGTGTTTGTGGCCAGCTGTGGCCACCAGGAGCTCCTGGTTCTGTGGAGCAGCTCCAGCCAGGGGTCTCAGCAGCGGCGGAGCACGGGAAGCTGCAACTCCTGTGTGTGGGCTCGAGTCAATGACGTTTTAAACTGATTTGTAACACAGCAGCAGTAAAGGAACTGATTTACGAAAAATGTCAGAATAAACTGTCAAACTAGAAAGAGCGGTATCCATAAATACCTACATAAATAAAGCTACAAATAACTTCAGGCTTTGCTGGCAAACGTGTAATCACTGAAGTGACAGACACCGTTAGCTGCCCCAGTGCTAGCATGCAGGGCTGAGGAGCAGGTTCTCCTCTCTCACTCTTCTTCCCCTTGGAAGCAACAAACGGTGACTTTGTGGGGTGTCACCTCCACCCGTTGAGCACCTGGGCAAAGCGGTGGTGGCCTGTGAGCTGAGCAGGGCAGGGAGGGGAAGGCAGGTATTGTTTTCAAGGACAGCCAGAAAACAATGTGGTGAGAGACAGACAGACAGCCAAGCAGAAATATAATAAAAAGGTACATCTGATTCCTTTTACTTCAGCCTGGCACTGTTAAATCTGCAGTCAAAACAAGTTTAGATGCTACCCCTTTTCACACTGAGGAAGGCACAGAAAGGGACATTTGTCCTTTATGACAGATATAACTCACGAATTAATTTTTTTCTTGTTTGTTTTTACAGGGAGCCGGGGGCAAGACGAAGCGCAAATGAAAGCCACAACCAACTTCAGCTATGCTAGGAACAACAGCAACTGCACCAGCGATAGCAGAATCAGTCAAGTCATTTTTCCTTTGCTTTACACAATTCTGTTCCTGGTGGGTCTCACCATGAATGGCCTGGCAATGTGGGTCTTCTTTAAAATATCCAGTAAATCTAATTTCATCATCTTCCTCAAGAACACTGTCATTTCTGACTTGCTTATGATCTTGACTTTTCCATTTAAAATCCTGAGCGATGCGAAGTTGGTATCATGGGTACTGAGAGGATTTGTGTGCCAGGTCACCCAGGTTGTATTTTACTTCACCATGTACATCAGCATTTTGTTTCTTGGTCTAATAACTATCGATCGCTATCAGAAAGCCTCTTCGCCGTTCAGAACATCAACACCAAGGAGCCTTTTAGGTGCCAAGATCCTGTCCACAGCTATTTGGATATCAATGTTTGCTCTTTCATTACCCAACATGATTCTAACAAACAAAGAGAAAACACTTGAGAACGTAAAAAAGTGTGCTCGCTTGAAATCCAACTTTGGCTTAGTCTGGCACGAAACTGTAAACTACATTTGTCAACTTATCTTCTGGATTAATTTAGCAGTCATAGTTGTATGCTACATACTCATAAGTAAAGAACTGTACAAATCATATAAAAGGACAAGGTGCACAGGAAAAGCATCCAAAAAGACTGTAAATCTGAAGGTTTTCATCATTATTGCGGTGTTCTTTATTTGTTTTGTGCCGTTCCACTTCACTAGAATCCCCTACACATTGAGCCAAACAAGAGACGTGTTTGAATGCTCTGCTCGGAACACCTTGTTCTATTTAAAAGAGAGCACTTTGTGGCTGACATCACTAAATGCTTGCCTAGATCCATTCATATACTTTTTCCTTTGCAAGTCATTTAGAAAGTCCTTGCTAGACATGCTGTGCAAACACACAGCATTGTCAGAACTCAGAGCTCAGATGAAGGAGTCGAACGAAGGAGATGACACAGACGAGACACCACTCTAGAGCTAAGAACTACCCATATCCCTTCTCAGCCACGTACGTTTATTGGTGGGAGGAAGCAACACAAAATCCTGTGAAGAATATATAGAATTTCACCAACTTCTTCAGAAATTGGTCCTACAGACAAAGCACAAGCACCCTGGAACCCACCATCACTGGCTGCAAAAATGGTGAAACTAGAGAGCTTGAAAAAAGCCCAGAGCACCAACTGATCACAACCTCCACGCTCGTCAGAACTGCTAGGAAGAAGTTTGAACTTACAATTGGGGCTGAAAGGAAAAAATTAATACAATGTCATGAAATGCTACAGACGAAATTATGAACTGCAAAGATTTTGCAGAAATGGCTTAACTTGGGCCAGAATAAAGTTCATAATAATACAGGATCTGGGAGATGCAATTAAAATCCACAGTAAGCGTGATATTTTAAATACAGGGAGTTGTCACCTTGTATGCAACTGGCAGACAACAGAAATAGGACATATGTAGATAAGCTATTTATCTGTGCGGATTTTTGGTAACAGAATAACATTTTGTTTATCTCATTATATGCTTGCAGTTCTTAATCCATTGACCAATAATTAATAGTTGTATGTCAGAGGAAATTACTTCATAATCAGACTTATCTTTATGTGAATTAAATCTTCAAATACTTCACCTTACTATATGAAAAATAAACAGAAATGTACACTTTTATAGATAACATCATGTTATATTAGAAAATACAGAAAGACTCAATTTACAGAATACTTAGATCTTGAGGAAAGATTGGTAAAATCTTTGCTGATTATTAAGGGTACCTTTTTTGCGTTGTATAAAATTTTAACCACTTCGCCTTTTCATTTGGAAAAGTTGAAAAAAAACAGGAAAATATTTTCAGGTATGCAACATTTTCAGGTATTGTAACAACCACACATGAAAAAGGTTCCAGGCTACTGTAATAAATTATGGTTAATTTATCATCATTGGAAAACAGCTCCAATTCAGAAATATGTTTCATCATCATGAAAGAGTTGTCCTGCCAAAAGCCACTGCCTGTCTACCCTGCTCCAATACTTACTTGCACCTGGCATCATTTTCACAACTGATAGCCAATTTCCTAAAAAGTTAAAAGATGGTTTACTTACTTTAGCACTCAGCCTTAGAGTTTATGCATCTCTTATAACCTGCCTAGACGAATGAAGTATTTTACAAAATGTTTCGTGCACTGCTTATGCTGGTATATGCACCAACACCGATTACAATCAGTAGCTGGGTTGTTACACCACAGAAAACAGGTCACCATCATTTCCCTGGAACCAGAGCTGCCAGTCACCCCAGAGCACGCTCCCCAGAACCAGCTGGGGCCCAGGGTTCATCAGCTCCAGCTGATACCCAGAAGGAAGCACCACTTCCACCCAACACCCATTCCCCACATTTTTTCGCACCTACACATGGAGAGAGAGTGGCAATTACCCAGCAGGTGCTTTTCCTGATCAGATGAGCTGTTTAGACAACAGACACTACAGCTATCCACATACCACAGAGCAGTTGCCGAGAGGATACATGGAGGCACTTCATACCTGCCTCTTACAGCTGGGAAGAGTGTCAAGAGGCCAGCACAGAAGAAAATGGGCAAGATGCTGCTTTGGACATCAGTCCTGGGGTATTGCAATGGACTGTCTCAGCTCTATATAGCTCTTGATGAATGCACAGAAGCTGGGTGAGGCAGCTACGGACATGTCACGCTGATGACAATGGTTAGGGTGACCTTCATCCTGGTCATCCTCAAGGATCTTTGCTCTCTGCAAGCCATTTAACAGCAACATCACCGACTAAAATGTAGATACTAACACCCAAACTTCTTGTGAATGCAGCTGCAGCCTGAGAAACTCAAAAAACAATCCATGTCTGCCCAGAAAGGGATGGCTTGAACCTGAGCTGCTTCCCACGTGGCAGCAAAGCCAAGAGCCTGAACCCTAAGTAACATCAGTTGACAGAAAAAATACAAGACAAATCATATGAGTCAGCTAAATGTATACAAAATGTTCTGATTACAGAGAAATGCACTAGATTCCAACATTATACATAATAAACACGAAGCATACCATGCAAGGGCAGCAGCTTCTGCCAGAACCAGAAAAGCCCACTCTGGAAATCACAAGTCAAGCTCAGGTTGATGTCTCAATATTAACAGGCTACAGAAGGAGGGAACAGTTTCAGAACATGTCATTGCAAATGATTTTGTAGCCGAGTAACCCATTGTAAGGGTGGCTCTGAGCAGACTTGCTGGTCACGTATTTGATAATGACTAGTCCTGTCGAGAACAGGTGAATTTACACACACAAACAAGAACACAGAGCTACATTTGAGGATTATCCCAGAAATTTTTCAGGAAACACTCTGTTTGTTCATCCACATCTCTAAAGGAGCCACATCATAACGGCACAGTGTAGGTGTCATCAGGTCTGCCACACACAAAGAGAAAGCCAGAAAATGTGCCTGTCTTGGATATAGTATTTTTTCTTCATTAGTGTAGGAGAAGGTAGTGTACTTTCTGACAGAGTGCAAAAGGAAGAGAGAAAAGCAACAGCAAACGTGATTAACTAACTCAGGCGACACGTGAAAACGAGGAAGGAAACAACACACCAACAGAAAAAGTCTCATCTTTCTACACATTTCCCCATTCTTAATACTGTGCTCGAGGCTTCTGCCAGCAGAGGAACAGCGGATGACCCGGAGAAAGCCAAAGACCCCTCTCTGAAACAGCTGCTGCCAGGTTTGCTCAGGTACTTGCAGGATCAGAGCATTCATGTGGTGTGATGGGGCACTCGGGCATTTGGCTTTGAGATGTAAGAGGCTGATAACCAGCTGGGTGCATCTTATTTTGAAAATGTTATTTCAGTCTGTGCTGGGAAAAGGAAGATGTTTTGTGCTTGATAAGAAATACCAGAAGTCACCTGCCCAGAAGCACCTCGCTTTTGGGCCACAACTGTAAAATTTCTATTCAGTGTTAAAATACTTTTCCATGTAAAGATAAATGGCGCAAGCTGCTGTTATACTTTGCTATTATATCATCTTAGGCCTCCATAATGAATATATACCATGTTAACTTTTCATTAGACATCTGTTTGTGAACAATGTAAACAGATATTTAGATTTTCTAGGAACTAGAAGAGAAATCAGTTGGTCTGTTTAATGCACATTCAAGTTTCGTGTTTATTTGTGTAAACCTGCCAGTCACTACAAGAAACATGTACTTTTAAATCCAGAGCGTTTTGTGTTCTCTCTCTCTTTTTCATCCAAGTCTATTTCAAACAATGGGAGACTTCGCAAACAAGAGTATCATCAGTAACTCCAGCGGAGCACCCTCCTCTGCACCGTGCCAACGAGACACCACAGTCACCCACCTGGTCTTCCCAGTACTGTATACACTCGTCTTCCTTCTGGGACTCGTACTGAACAGCCTGGCTTTCTGGGCTTTTTTCCATATCCCAAGCACATCAACTTTCATTGTCTACCTGAAAAATATCTTAGTTTCTGATTTTGTAATGACCCTGATGCTTCCTCTGAAAATCCTGACGGACTCTGGCCTGGGACCGTGGCAACTCAAAGCCTTTGTCTGTCGCTTCTCAGCCGTAGTATTTTATGACACCATGTATATTAGCATCGTGCTACTTGGCCTCATTGCTTTTGACAGATTTCTCAAGATTGTGAGACCTTTTGGGAAGTTCTGGGTGCAAAACCTGACCTCAGCAAAAATTCTTGCGGGTCTGGTCTGGCTCTTCTTCTTTGTTCTCTCTCTGCCTAACATGATCTTATCAAACAAGAAAGCAACACCCCAGTCCGTGAAGAAGTGTGCCTCGTTGAAGAACTACTTTGGACTCAAATGGCATGAAGCCGTCAATTACATCTGCCAGTTCATTTTCTGGACTGTTCTCATCCTTATGTTCCTATTTTACATAATTATTGCCAAAAAGGTATACGAGTCTTACGTAAAAACACAGAAGAAAGACAACAAGAGTGAACAAAGGATCAAGGGGAAAGTATTCATCATTTTTACTGTGTTTTTCATATGCTTCGCCCCCTTTCATTTTAGCAGGGTTCCCTACACTCTGAGTCAAACGACCACCCACATGGGCTGCCACCTGCAGAACCAGCTCTACATTGCGAAAGAGAGCACTCTGTGGCTGGCAACCACAAACGTCTGCATGGACCCCCTGATATACATGTTCTTGTGCAAACCATTTGTAGAAAAAGTGTTATGCGGGAGAGTAAAGATATTTCAGAATACAGATCAAACCAACACGAAAACCGAACTGGACACACGGACGTTGGCGACTCAATCTTGACTCTGCAGCCTCACGCTCCACAGTCTCTGCATGTTCATAGAGAAGTTTCAAGTAATTTACTTCTTCTGTAGAAAATGAAAGGGTGGTTGTACTCTAATACTAATATGTAATAAAAATGGCACGATGGATTTCGTTATTTATGCTTGCTGCTTAGCCTTAATTGGCAAAAAGCTGTCACTCAAACCGCCGGCCCTGATCTAAAACCAATCTTCCCCCTGAGCTGTGCCCTCTCATTGACACCCCCATCCCTAATCAAAGCTGGGGGAGCCCAGCCGTGTCGTGGTTGTGCCTGCCCAGCCACAGCACTGCCGCCCTCACACCGCAGAGATCCGTCCTGCCTTGGAGTCTCTCATGCGACTTCACAGCCACAACCACATCGGTCTGAACAGAAAAATAGCATCAATGATGCATAAAACTAACAACGATCAGTCTGTAGCCTTGCGTTGCTGTGATGGCTCTGCAAAGCAAATGAGAACAGTGTTTTTTCTGATTTGGTCACTAAATCAAGTCCACCTTACACAATACAGACAAACCACAGCCTGGAGAAGAGAAGGCTCCAGGGAGACCTCACAGCAGCCTACCAATATCTGAAGGGAGCCTACAGGAGAGCTGGAGAGGGACACTTTGTCAGGAAGTGTGGTAACAGGACAAGGGGTAACAGTTTTAAATTGGAAGAGGGGAGATTTAGATTAGATATTAGGCAGAAATTCTTTACTGTGAGGGTGGTGAGGCACTGGAACAGGCTGCCCAAGGAAGCTGTGGATGCCCCATCCCTGGAGGTGTTTAAGGCCAGGCTGGATGGGGCTTTGAGCAACCTGCTGTAGTGGAGCTGTCCCTGCCCATGGCAGGGGGGTTGGAACTAGATGATCTTTAAAGTCCCTTCCAACTCTAACCATTCTATGATTCTATTCTATCATTCTATGAATTAAAACACCTTCATATAACATAAAACAATCTACAGAATAATCATATCCACTTTAAACAAAAAAAACTTACTTGTTAACAATTAAGCAGCTTACTGACTATGGCTGCTTCTAAAGACAATTTAACTTTATTTGGGATGAAACCCCAGAGCTGTTGAATTTGTGTGTCAGTAGTTCTTACACCAGGTGTCAGCTCAGCTGGCACATCGCAGGGCAGGGAAGAGGAGGGACTGTACTTCACAGAGGGGAGGAGGACACGGTCCCTCCCCATCCCTACCCATTTCTCTCACACATGTAACTACTTTCCTGCCACCTACACTGTTTCACCATCCTTCCTCCCCACTCCCAGCGGTGACTTCAGGGGAAGGCGCAGCCAGCAATTCCCCAGTGCCCCCAGAGCACACTCCTCGCCCAGGCCAGCAGAAGGCCCAGGAGTGCTTCCCCTGCCAAGGGTAGCCCAGAGCCGCACAGCATTCAACCCTGCCCTACCACTTCCCACAGGAGAACACCCAGAAATGTTCCCCTTGGTGGCACATTCGCCCTTCCCAGTCCCAACGATGGGCAAAGAGAAGGCAGCAAGCAACGCTGCCTAATCCTAACCGTCCAGATCCCTCTCCACCCAGCTCACCACACCACTTGCAGAGCTCTCCTTTAGCTGTCCCATAGCAGAAGTCCAAATGGACTGTCCCTAAAGAGAAACCACTTTTTAATCCAAAAGCCTGACATTTATTTCACTATTTAAGATGTGAAAGAGATACCAACCATTTATTGACTCCAACTCCACAAAGTATATTAAAAAAAAACTGTTAAGCTTGCCTTAGACCCGAGCAATTCTGCCTTGCTTCTCAAATAACCTGTTCCTACTGCTACTCGTCCCCCAACATACCCATCACCCTGGAGGACCACCCCACAGGACCACCTCTGCATCACACATCACTCAGGTGACATGGCACTGCAGAAGGGGCCTCGGGGACAGCACCACAACTTGCTCTCTTCCATCAACCCTCCTGCCTGGACACTTGTCTCTGTGACACTTGCTGAGAAAGCAGTCACATCCCTTGTTACCAAACTTCACTTCTCGAGCTCTCCTGCTAGCTTTATGCCTTCTCACACCTGCTTTGATCACCACTCGATTGCTATTTTTAGAACTTAAATATTTACAGCAGCCTAATACAATCACACAGGTAGCTCCGTACAGCCTGATTTTTTCAAAGCTGTTTTTAGATTACTGTGCATTAATTACATCTGCCTTTGGGATTCCCCAGCCTCTGCCACACAGGTAGGTGTATATACATTATTTAGTAATTTCCACTCTCTGTATCTTCTCCACTGGGCACGTTACATACTTTCCATAACTGTAACACCCTTTTACAACTAGAAACTCAACTAATCCTGTCAGCTTCCAGCTGGTTCCAAACTTCCCTGTAAAACAAGGTTTTCTCAAACAGTGTCTTCCTCTCAGGATTAAATTATGCTATTCAGGAATTAATTCTTCTCTCCCCCACACAGAGTGTTTAACAGGATTAACTTAGCTACTTTAGTAAAAGTAAATATATTGAAATCTTAGCTGCTAAAATAGTCACCCCTTTAGCAACTGCTTAAAGAAATGTGTGAGTCCGAAAATGTTTCTCTAAGCCTATTGAGATAGCACAGCAATTAACACAGTGACCAGAGCTAAACATTAGGAGGAGAGAGTCTGTAAATCAGCTGGGATCTTCCATCAGGCAGGTGCCCATGGAAACCAGTGTTCCTGAGTACATTTGGGTGTATGAGGGAAGAATTCAGCATGGAACTGTGCAGCTCAGTCTCTCCTCTTCTGAATGACTGAAACCAGAACAGCTAATGCAGAGGTCCCAGGACTCCCAGCACAGACTCGCATCCAACCCTGGATTTAAAAGTGGAAATCTGGCCTATTTCTGTAGTTATTACAGAGAAAGGCAGTAACATAAAATGAGCAATATCGTAGTGATAAACTATGAAAGTGCTGAAGAACAGAAAACTTATTCCTCTGTGGAAGTTGTTGGGTTTTTATTTTCTCATTTCTACTGCTTGTAATCCAATGCTCATTTAACACTGTGCACAAACACATACTGGCAGCACACACAGTTAAGAACCAAGAGCCTGCATGTAAGGGTGGGTGTAACCACAAAATGGGCTGAGTTGCTCCTTAAATAAGGGGTGTGCCAAAGGTTTCAGAAGAGTCTTAATCATCTGTTTTTCAGCTGTTGCTTCCTAGGTAGGTAAAAGGGAGCCAGAGTTACCAAACTCAGTAGCAGAGAAATGCAAGGTGACTGCAAGGGTAGGACATCAGGTTGATCCACTTACAGGAAAAAGAAAGTTCCCTAAATGGTAACATTTGGGATTTTGCACCTTTTTCCTGCAAGTTTTTAGATCCCTGCCTCCAGATGCAAGTAAGAATCATAAGAGTCAAAATGCCTCAAAGTTTAGGTCTCTACTTTTTAAGGCTCAAAAAAATGGCCAAAGCTGCATTTTGTGTTTTACACCTGACCAAAATGGAGACCTTTTTTGAGAACAGACTTCCTTCAGAAACACAGAAGCCATGAGCCTAGATGCCATAGGAAGCTGCTTTTCTGGGCTCTCCAGATTTCTTTAGCGCAGTCAAGGCATTTATCTAATTGAGTAAAGTTTACCAGCATATTCAATATAACAGTCAGCATTTTTTCAAATCTGATTTTTCTCCCAACTTAACTTGAAACGTTAAAGTTACAACTGACTCTCATGTATCAGAAGAGGCTGAGGGAAACCTTTGCTTTTCCTAGATTCAGCAGCTGTACAAGAGCAAACACATACAAGGTTTCCACCTTACGTGTTCTTCCTCCAGCCCGTCGCCACCATAAGGCAGCAGCAGAGCTGTTCCCTTCTGCATCCAAACCTTCATTTGCTCACCTTGTCTACGTTCCAGACTAGAAGCAACAGACAACCTAGAAACTGGAAAACTGGCACCAGGCCTTAAACTTGTTCAGACAAATGAACTTTATTCCAGGCTCCTGTGGTCCAGGTTCACACGAAAACTACTGACACTTATTCTAAACATTTTTACAGGTTGCTTGGCTCCCCAAAGGGGAACTATAGGGCACTAGGCAGTCGAGTTTTATAGGATATCAATCTTATTTGGATACACAAAGGCTTACATATATTTCTTTGTATATTTTATTTTACTTGCATTTCAGAAGAAGTAAATATAATATACCTCTGCCTAATACACACACCACCTAGCCTTCCCGATTTGGTAGCAGACTGCCCCTCCACCATGGGACAGCAAGTTAATTCCTGAATACCTAAAGACAAATTCTGCACGTCATACGTGTCCCAGCTCTCCAGCACAATGATACACATCCTTCCATCAAGGCTCCTACAACTCCGAGTACTGAGAAAACTCTCCTAACATACAGCAGTACTTTAATTAATTAGAAATGCAAAACAACAATTTGCATAAGTGAGTAAGAGCTGGTAAGCCAAGTCGAGCAACCAAGATATTACCCATACGGCGACACACAAACACACAGAGCCAGCAGCATGTGAAACCAAAGGCACTAGAATAACCTAAGTCTGTAGACAGGATCAGCCAGCCAAGGTGCACAACTTCAGGTTACCTACCAACATAATGCAAAGAATTCCAGCATAGAGCAAAAAAAATAAATGAGCTTTTTAAAAGTCAGTTCTTAACTAGCTCCTTTCTTCCCTCTTTCCCTCTTAGTAACAGTCATCAAAACAGTGGTCGAAAGAAACCACCTAAGGAAAGGGGAAGTGTCAGACTCTTCCAAGACACTTCCACTGACAACAGCACCTCCATCTTGCACTTCTGAAGGTATAACGCTGGGTAAATCATGCCAGTGTTGCAAGATCTGATCATCCTACCACTTTTTAATGTTTAAAACAAAGAAAAATCCAGTCTCGTATATTATCCAGGTGGTCAATCTGCTTTAAAAATAACCCTGTAGTTCATATTGCTAAACACAATAGTAAAGGAGTTTTAGAATGAAGCAACACAGTAATTGTTGTAGTAATATTGTTCGGGCTCTTATGAAATCTGAGAATTGCTCTCTAATCACCAGAATACAAAAAGGGACATCCAACCTTTAAATATGTGAACAATTTTAAAGTTACAGGTTAGCTTTCAGCTTGTCTTTACATCAGAGCTTCACATTTCTTTCGCGCTGTTTTTACGACAAGCTCCATAGCATTTCCTTGTCATGTGGCAGCTAGTCCTGACTTGCTCCAGCCTGAGAACAGCCAAACAACACACCTGAATTAAATGCCTTCTAGGGGATGCTATGGCAGTGGTTTCTAATCCATTAAGTTTTACCGATATGCCAAAATGCAGAGATTTTAAAGAAAAGTTAATGTGCCACTGCACCACATTCAAAAAACAACTCCATTCTCATGTAGATTTTATAAATCCATTTATTATTTGACCACTGTTAACACACAAACTCTATTCAGAGAGTACCAACTATTAAAGGTTTGGGTCTCTACAAGAAATTAACATTAGTACTGACAGGTCTACATTGCAACAAAGCCAAAGAATGGACCCTTTGGACAATGGTTGTTTTACCCTGGAGAGGAAACCACAGTAGTGAAAAAGTGGTGCTAAGGTAAGATGGAAAGCTGACTATAAAGACATCTGACTCCAGCAGCAAACATCTGGTATTGGGGAAGAGATCTGAGAAATCCCCAAAAGGGCAAACAAACAAAGATATTTAAATGAAATCCCTCAAATTCTCAAAAGGAGATGAGGCCAACCGCAAAAATCAGCACAGAATTTGCACAGCCCCCTGTCCTCAGGTAAACCAGACTGTGCTGAAAGTCAAACAAGGAGATCCAAGCAGGAGGCCCATCCAGATACTCTCAGAGCTCCAGAGCCTCTGAGCTACTGCACAGCCACAGGAGAGAGGGCAAGACAAACAGCCTTGTACCCTCGCCAGAGGAAGAATGAGGTCTCCGCTTATCAGAGAGCAAAAACAGTGATTTATGGAGACCAGAGAGGAATACCTTAAAAGAGATTTAATGCAGAGAAGTCAAGGTGTTTGTGTAGCTGTGCAGTGAGCTGTACCGTACCTGAGCTGCACTAACTGATGACAGCACTTCCCACTGCATCCCAGGGTGGCTCTCACTGCCCTCTCCATGGGATAACTTCTCAGCTCAAAGGAGCAGCCTACGAGATCATCAGTCAGGCACATACTCCTGTCTTACACAGGCTACACTAAAAACAGGGAACCGGATCACCACAAGTAACTTCAACATGGAAAACGGCTGAAAGCCACAGAGGAAGCAAAGCAAAGACGGGAAGGAAAACAGAAGGCACCATTAGTCTAGAAACAGGACAAGCAGTTGGGAGAGGAACAAAACACAAGCAGCTGCTCAACATTGGAGCACAAAAGACAGCTGAAAGAAGGTTGAAATGCTGGCTGGCACACACTGTCCTGCATAGCCATGTGCAAGGTCTGAGAGAGGGAGAGATTCTCTCAGAGTGGAGAAAAAGCCTTCTCCATCCTCAAGCGATGTGATGTGTGCAACGGGGACCATCACTTAATGTCAGAATATCCAGCTCCTGAGCTGAGTTTGGCAGCTTGCAGTAACAAAGCTGAAAACATGACAGAAGTACAACACATGTTCCTGCTGGGTTCATTTGCATTATCTGTTTTGCCTTGCAAAAGCTGGTCTTCAAAGATGAGCCATGGCAGAAGTCTCCTACGATCAGGGACTGTACCCAATTCAAGGGAGAGGGAATCAATCCTGCGGCAAGTGGGAATTTTACAGCCAGCCCACTACCCGAAATGCGGAAATTAGGACAAAAGCCCCTGGACACATGGCCAGGTGAAGCTGTTCCCCACTGCAAGGAGGGAGCTGGTAGGACCTGCTCCTGCTCCAGCTCCTCACAGGGCTCCACGCAGCTGCCGAGGGCACCTATGCAGACAGCTATCCAGTCTCTGAAGAGGGGAGCTGGGATTCAGTCTCTCAGATCTTTGGCAGAAAAAAGGCAGAACAGACAGAGCAGTCCAAGAAAAGTGACTTGGCAGCCATTGCTCTCATAGCATTAAGATTATTTTTTCTTTTCTCCTTAAGATTTAGCGAGGGTGATATATATTTGCTTTCTTTTTAAGAAGGCAGCAGAAATGGGAAATTGACCACCTCATTCTCTGCTGACATGAAGCAAAATTTTGTCCTAAAATAACTGCTGCCATGATTATTTCATTGCTCTTAAGGCACTAAATTATCTTACTCTAAATATGTGTACACCCAGGACCACTGATGACAGGACCGCAAGACTCAGCGGGCTGACAGACACCATGACAGTAAAAAGTATGCAATAAACAAACAGCCTAGTCATTTTACCTGAAATATTTAGTTACAGACTTAACATTTTGCTTTCATCCTACACACTACTTAGAAGAGAAGATCTGTTAAAAGCACAATTAAAGATGTCTAAATATAGTCAAATTGATAACTGACATGATAATCTCGATTAGCAGGTATTTGCATCTATCCAGCACAGGATTTTTCAGTATCACATTAAATTCACATTTGCCCTGCAGGCAAAACCGTATGAACCAAGAGACGCGGGGCACGGTTGCGCAGGTTGCTGTAGAACACGACTGCAGCCTGTTCACAACGTCTCCCTGCAGGAAGGCTGCTGCCTTCAACAGGCACTAACCCACCTCTCAGGTGAATCACCGTCTGCGTCCTGGGCGCCCCAGCTGCTCCGGAGCCAGGAAGTGAGCGGGAGCGCGCCGCTCACCTACCCTGGCATGTGAGTCATTCCCAGGAATGAGAAAGCCAGTTGCTCCAGTTGCTCCTGGCCAGGGGAATTTTGACTCTCTGATCAGGTATCGCAAAATAAGGCATCGGAAGCAAAAAAGCTTACTTCCAGATATGGTTGGTTTAACTACCTTATCGCAAGAAACACCCTCGTGCCTACTGTAGCTTCAAGATGGACTTTGGAGGAGTCTAAGGCGCTTTCGAGATGCAGCTCAGAGAGAAGTGGAAGGCGGCAATGGTGACAGGTAAGTGATCTTTGAGCATCTGAAAAGCGTTTGATAAGTTGTTCTGTGAATCTTCTTGCTCTTAATCACCCTCAAATGAAAACAGGAATTAAGATACAGTTGCTGAAATCCAGATTTGGAACCATAAACTGAGTATCAGATCAATGAAAAGTGTGAAAAGTTCTCAAAATAGTGCAGCTTTACTAACCTTTTATTCATTCATTAAACGTTGTCTTGTTGTCTTTCTCCCAGTGGCAAAAAAATGGTTTTCTACTAATCATTCCTTCTTAGATATGAATCGAAGTGCAGGAAGTTCAATGGTTTCAGTAGCCTCCTGACAAAGTTTAATTCATATCAAGTAAGATTCAGTAACTAAAACATTTGGTACAAAAGGTTTGTACCATATTCCTTTTCACCTCTTTCAGTAAAAGAAAGCATACTTCAATTCTCTTAATTATATTATACAGAATAAAGGTTCTCTTCCTTCATACTTAACTCAGATCGTGTTAAAACTTGTCAGGTTCACTGGAAAAACCACATAGCTCCGAACAAGCAACTTACAAACTATACGTCTGATTAGTCTCAACGTTTGGGAAATGTGTAAGGCACTTTCAAAAACCTATGTTGTTTAAACAGTATTTTAGATTGAAAAGGTTATTCTCAGTTATGAAGAACTGAAAGTGGCAGTGCAATTAAAGGTTTTTTAAAAAATGACCTGCCACTTGTGCATTGTAGGGACTGTAGACATCTGCCTTCTCATTACATATGCTTGGTCTGGAAACACTGGCAGTGTTTCACCTTTTTTCCATCTTTTTAAAGAAGATTCTGCAATCTTCTTTAAAAAAGGGAAACCAGGAAACTCAAGCAAGCATTAAGCTGATGTCACGTACTCACTCCCAGAAGCACAGGCCCTGGATCACATGAAAGCCGCCAGCATTTCTCTGGTTAGGAGCCTGCTCTGGCGGGCACCTCGCTCTTTGGGTAGACAACCAGCTCTCGGGCACCAGCCAGACGCTTCCCTCTCCTCCCTCACTGCTCTTTGGGGAGAGGGAGCTGGGAGAGCCTGGGGAGAACCTCCGGAGCGGAGGATGTGGGTCAGCTCTTGGATGAGGGAGAGGAGAGCAGAGGAGGAGAGGAGGGGAGAGAGGCCGAAGGGCCTGCAGGGACCCCAGAAACAGCATCTGTTTGCATTAGGGGTGCGTGAGGAAAAAAAGCAGCACGTTTTCAGCAGCACCAGCCGCCGATTCCTCCTCCCTCCCCGCGGAGGGTTGCCTTTCCCAGCTCAGCCCTGCTGTCTCACCCTGGCTCCCCTCCCTAGCTGCCAGGGCTCCCCCGGGGCAGGGCGGGAGCGGGGAGACCAGCTCGCCCAGCACCTGCACCCCACAGCCCGTCCTGTGCTGGCACGCACCCGTGCTGGGCGCTGGAGCACCAGAGCTTCCAGGGTTCAGGGGCGTTGGGAGCCACCAGGATCCCAGGAGCATGGCTGAGCCGGGAAGACACTCAGGAAGGGCAGGCAGAGAGGGAACGTGCACCAGGAGGAAGGTGGCAAGTCACAGTCCAGAGTTTGGCCAACACTGGAGGAGCCCTTCAGAGACTAGATGCTCCTTCTCAGCTGGGAAGCCTACTCCACTCCGAGATGAGATATATCCAGGAACAACTGAAGGGGGAAGCTCCTTCTTCTCTTTTCAGGACAAATCACTTGCTCGCCTCCAGACAGCAAAGTTCTAATAGACCTACTGTTTGACCAAGAAAGCACTACAAAAAGCCAGTCAAGACATCTGCAATAAGACTGTGGCATTAAACCTGAAGTTTGGAGTATTTATTAAAGGTTTGGAACTAAGTGAAAATGAGCCAAGAGCTAAGTAAATCAAGAGCTGAGTAAACCAAGAGCTACAGACCCGCCATACTGCTGTCCATACTGGGGCTCTGTAGGAAGCCAGGCTGCAAGGGACACTAATCCCAGTGCTCCCAAGAAAGCACTAGAAGAAGTCAGTGATCTTAATTCCCACATTTCAGTGGTGTTAACCCTTCACAACACAGAAAGTTACAGTACCTTCTTAAACAAACAAAACCAAAAGAAAATCCTCCCACCCTCAATTATCAAAAGTAGGTTTCCACATCTGACCAACGCTGAACCTCACATGAGATACTACAATAACCACTACTTCTTGTTTTTCCTCGGGAGAACGTCAGTGACATATCAAAGTGACAACTGATGACGAGCAGTACAAATCAGGCTCGTGTCACCTTCACTGCAGCAGCAGCTTCTGTCACTATCCAAGGAACAGCCAAGAGCTGGTGAAGCAGTTTGGCCAGATGCACAGCGGCAGCTTCCTGCAGCTGGCACCCTGAAACCCTGCCTGGATCTGCCATCCGTCCGTCTGTCCATCTGTCCCTGAGAGTGGGGACTCTCCAGACTGCTCATGAAAAATCAGGGTTGCACCAAGCTGAACTTCTCCCAACCATACCCCAAAATCCCCGTGTCCTTTTCCTTCCTCTTTGAAATAGTGGCGTTGCTGCAAGTAACTAACATGCTTCATTGTCTCGCAGCAAGAGATACTGAAGCACAAAAAAATAACCAGCCGACAACAGCAGATGAGGAGTTTTTTGCCCTTTTGCCATGTGAATTAGAATTGGATATAAAAAAAAAAAAAATCAATCAGAAAAATCAATTGAAATTGTTTCAATGCAAAGTAAAACACCTAAAAAGTGAAACCACAATTACTTAGAAGTTTAAATGGCACCATCTACATGCATGTACAAATAATAATTTTTCCCCACGAGATATTTTTTCATAGTATCCCCACCTTGAGAGACGTGACAGATGAACAACAGCCAGAGCTACAGTGGATGAAGGTGCAATGCGATCAATCACATACCTTCTTTTTATTTCTTTGTGACCCAGGCAACATTTTGACTGCTTTTTAAAGTTTCATTACGAGCTTTTTACTTAAGGTTTTTCATTGCATAATACCAATAATGAAACCTAAAGGCTAATATTTTTAGCAAAAAGCTCCAACCCCTCTAGCCTGACACCCAAGAGAGTCTTTGCCTTGCTGGTGTGCTCAGAGCAGAGGGCCCGGGAGGTCTCTGGGCTGCAGAGGGACCCTGGAGAGGCTGCATGGCATGGGGCTCGGCGGCAGCACCGAGCGGAGCAGCCGGCTGCCGGCTCACCTGGACAGAAGCCAGCTCCTCTGGAAGGAGCTCAAGACCACCCAAGCACCACATGCTGAAACTTAATAACCAGGTTTTGCTTTTTGCCCAAACTATTGTGTTTATAAAGCTTTTCAAATTTAAAAGACTAGCACTTCGGGATAATAAAGCGCACGGGATAAGTAAGGAACAGCCTATGGAACTGAAGGGGGATTATTTGACAAAGATTTCTGTGCTGCCCATTGTGCCAAGAACAGAGCCCACGAAAACACAAGCAGAACAGGAACAGAAAGGCTGGGAGAAAAGCTTGTGAGGAGATAAAAAGAGGGAAAAGCTGAAGTTATTCTGGAGAAATACATGTAAATATGAACCTGCTTCTGGCCTCCCCCTTGGAAAGGAAGACTAGAAATGCGACGTGGTGAGAGATTGAAACTGTGTCTTCCAAGCAGCAAAAGAATCATAGAATGGTTAGAGTTGGAAGGGACCTTAAAGATCATCAAGTTCCAACCCCCCTGCCATGGGCAGGGACACCTCCCACTAGAGCAGGTTGCCCCATCCAGCCTGGCCTTGAACGCCTTCAGGGATGGGGCAGCCACAACTTCCCTGGGCAACAACTGCAAAAGAAGTGCAATCCAGTGGGATGGAACAGGGACAAAGTCTGCAAAGGACGTCAAACTGGGTGATACCCCAAAGGGTCGTGCTGCCATCTAGAAAGACCTCGACAGGCTGAAGAAATAGGCCGACAGGAACCTCATGCAGTTTGGCAAGGAGAAGTGCAAAGTCCTGCCCCTGGGAAGGGACAGCCCCCTGCACCAGGACACGCTGGGACGCCAGCTGGAAAGCAGCTCCGCAGGGAAAGACCTGGTGGACAAGTTGAACATGAGCCAGCAGCCTGCCCTTGCAGCAAAGCAGGACAAGAGCCTCCCAGGCTGCATTAGGCAAAGCACAGCCAGGAGGGAGAGGGAGGGAGCCTTCCTCCCGGCTCAGCATGGCCAGGCCACACCTGCAGTGCTGGGTCCAGCTCTGGGCTCCCCAGTACCAGAGAGACACGGACATACTGAGCCCAGCACAGGGCCCCAAAGACAGCTAACATACTGGAGCATCTGATGTACTGGGGGGGCTGAGAGACCTGGGACTGTTCAGCCTGGAAAAGAGAAGGCTCAGGAGGATCTTATGAATGTGTACAAATACCTGCAGGGAGGGTGCAATGAGGACAGAGTCAGGCTCCTGTCAGTGGTGGCCAGGACAGGCCAGGAGGCAGTGAGCACAAGCTGACACTCAGGAGGCTTCATCTGAAGACAAGGGTTTTTTTGTTGGTGGCAGTGTTTTGGTCTTTTTTTTTTTTTTAATTACTGTGCGGGTGTTCAAACCCTGGAAGAGGTTTTCTCCCAGGGAGACTGTGGAGTCTCCATCCTTGGAGATGCTCTCCACCTGACTGGACATGGTCCCGGTCAGCCACCTGCAGTCAAATGCTGCTCTGAGCAGGGAATTGGCGCTGATGAGCAACTGCCAAAGGCAGTGTCAGGAAGGAGTTGAAAAGACTGGGGGTGCCAGTGCTAACCAGGCAGCAGCGAGCGCGTGGTGATGATGGGGGAGAGACCAGGACCACACTGCTCAGAACTTCAGGGCTGCCACCTCCACCTAACCCTGCTGAGTGCCCCGCGCATCTTGCACGGCATATTCTTAATGGGGGTTCAAAGAAAGCAATTTTATAGGGTTACGATACAGCTTCCACTATCAGCAGGTTTTGTGCAACCAGAAACTAGGATCAGCAGGATCTTCTAGAAAGAAGCAAAGGAAACATTCCAAAGTTAATCCTTTCCTCCCATCTAATTAGAGGCTGCCATGCTGAGAAAACATTCATTATC